TGGCTCACCAGCTTTCTGACCTGGAGGTTCAGAGCGTCCCTGGGGAAGATCCACGTGGGCACAGGTGGGAGGACCTGTTCTACGTGGGCACGATTCTGAATCGTTTTTTCTATGTCGTTTTTACTAATGGCTTTAAACGTGCCTCTGATCCTTTTGTGGCGTGTTTACATTCAGCATCAGAAGCTGTGAGAATGTCTGCAGTGTCCTCATGAGGTTCGGGTTGCACTGGGTGGCCCAAGATGCCCTGCAGAGGAGGCACTTTGGGAGGCCGAGGCGGGTGGATCACCTGAGATCAGGAGTTCGAGACCAGCCTGGCCAACGTGGTAAAACTCTGTCTCTACTGAAAATACAGAAATTAGCTGGGTGTGGCCTTGAATGGTGGCTCACGCCTGTAATCCCAGCACTGGGAGGCCAAAGCGGGTAGATCACCCGAGGTTGGGATCAGCCTGGCCAACATAGTGAAACCCCGTCTGTACTAAAAATACAAAAATTAGCTGGGTGTGGCCTGGCATGGTGGCTCACGCCTGTAATCCCAGCACTGGGAGGCCAAGGCGGGTAGATCACCCAAGGTTGGGAGTTTGAGATCAGCCTGGCCAACATAGTGAAACCCCGTCTGTACTAACAATACAAAAATTAGCTGGGTGTGGTGGCGCATGTCTGTCATCCCAGCTACCTGGGAGGCTGAGGCAGGAGAATGGCTTGAACCCGGGAGGTGGAGGTTGCAGTGAGCCAAAGTCATGCCATTGCACTCCAGCCTGGGCGACAGAGCAAGACTCCACCTCAAAAAAAGAAAAGAGCGTTTGGATATTTATTCCTGGCAGTTTTCATGCAGCACAGAGGCAGCAATTCCCATAGTGAACAAATACGGGATTGTATGTTTCAAGATGAAAGCAATCAAAAGATACGCAAAAGGTTGACATAGTTTCCCAATAACCTTACCATTTGTTGTTTAATAGAATTTTCAATGCCAGCTTGCACCATTAAGTCACTGACATTCTTCTGTAAGTCCTCGATACGGTTTCCCATTTCTTCCAGTGCAGTGTTAAGGAGTTCTGTGTAGAGCTGTGGGGGCACAGCCAGGATGTCCTCAGAGACCCCGCCTCCCGTGGCACCTGCCGTCACCATGCTCATGGCAAAGCCACGGCAGATGCAACTTTTAAAACGAGGGAATCAACGACAGGCCTAGTGTCTGTGCAAATCAGCTTCTTTCCCTGAGTTTTCCTCAGTGTGTCCCTTTAACCTTTAAACCGTGAGCTTAGAAAACGTGGCTCCCTTTGCTTGGACATGGATTTGGGGACAGGAGATCGGTGTATTTTAGTCAAACTCTGGGTGTGTAAAAATAACTATAATGGAAATTAACTCTTTTTTGTTTGTTCATAGGGTCTTGCCCTGTCCCTAGGCTGGAGTGCAGTGGTGTGATCACAGCTCACTGCAGCCCTGAACTCCTGGGCTCAAGCGATCCTTCCGCCTCAGCCTGTTGAGTAGCTGGGACTATAGACTACCACCCAGCTGAAATTAACTCTTGAAAAAACTAACATTCATAGGGTTTAATTTTATGTTTAAGACTCTTTTTTGTTCTGTGGGAACCCATTTACAAAATCTAAAGTTGCAAGCACACAATATTGAAGGAATACATTTAGTTGTGTAGCATGAGCTCAAATTGGGCGAGTCCTGGGGCAGTTGTTACCCTCATCTAGATTTGCTCCAACTCCAAAAAAACATTCTCTTCTCATTCTGTTTGATTTCATGTTTCTAAGACAAAACAGAGAGTTGATGAAGTTAAACTAAACGAAACCAAGCTTGGGAGAGCCGTATCTCGGATCCTGCCCTGGAGCCTTCAGTGTTACCCTCTGTGGGGTCTGATTCCGTCTGAGGGCCTGTGGTCTAGGGTGCACTGTCCGGGGGGACTGATGGAAGCCCCACTGGGAAGTGTTGCATGTTTGGGTTCTTGTCCTTTATACCTGCCGCACAAGACACCCTGTGTTGCCAGTCAAGCAGGAGGTGAAGCTTTTTTTTAGAGGGACTCTCACTCTGTCGCCCAGGCTGGAGTGCAGTGGCGCGATCTCGGCTCACTGCAAGCTCTGCCTCCCAGGTTCCCGCCATTCTGCCTCAGCCTCCCAAGTAGCTGGGACTACAGGCGCCGCCACCACGCCCGGCTAATTTTTTTGTAGGGTTTCACCATGTTGGCCAGGATGGTCTCGATCTCCTGACCTCGTGATCCGCCCGCCTTGGCCTCCCCAAGTGCTGGGATTGCAGGCGTGAGCCACTGAGGCCGGAGGTAGAGCTTTGGCTACAGGTGAGGGGTAATTAACACATCAGGAAGCCACCGTAAAAGCACAGAAGTAAATACTGGGAAATCCTGTAAGTAAACTATTACCTGCTACTAGCAGACAACAAAAAGACACTCCATGACAATCTACCAGTCCGAAAGAGTCAAGGCATTTGTTAAAGGTAGAAAAGGATATTTCTGAGGTTTAATGTTGCAGTCAGAGCTTGAAAATGTTCCTGAAGTTCCTGAAATAGATTTTCTGCCTGAAAAATAAACCATAAGACAATTGAATAAATATTTACTATTGGCATATGACTTTTTTTTTTTTTTTTTTTGAGACGAGGTCTTGCTTTGTTGCCCAGGTTGGAGTGCAATGGTGCGATCTCAGCTCACTACAACCTCCGCCTCCTGGATTCAAGTGATTCTCCCACTTCAGCCTCCCTAGTAGCTGGGATTACAAGCGTGTGCCACCACGCCCAGCTGATTTCTGTACTTTTAGTAGAGACGGAGTTTCACCATGTTGGCCAGGCTGTTCTTGAACTCATGACCTCAGGTGATCTGCCTACTTTGACCTCCCAAAGTGCTGGGATCACAGGCATGAGCCACCACACCCGGCCCACGTATGACATTTTAAATATCATGGGATAAACCCTTCCATAAATCTGTTGACTTCAGACAAAGGTGCCAAGGTCTTTGGATTCAGAGTGAAAGTCTTTTTTTTTTTTTTTTTTTTAGAGGGAGTCTCGCTCTGTGGCCCAGGCTGGAGTGCAGTGGCCGGATCTCAGCTCACTGCAAGCTCCGCCCCCCGGGTTCCCGCCATTCTCCTGCCTCAGCCTCCCGAGTAGCTGGGACTACAGGCGCCCGCCACCTCGCCCGGCTAGTTTTTTTTTTTTGTATTTTTTAGTAGAGACGGCGTGTTAGCCAGGATGGTCTCGATCTCCTGACCTCGTGATCCGCCCATCTCGGCCTCCCAAAGTGCTGGGATTACAGGCGTGAGCCGCCGCGCCGGGCCGGAAAGTCTTTTCAACAAGTAGCGCCGGAATCATGAGGGCCAGGTGCAGACTGGGCAGGGACCCATCCCTGCATTCACCCCACACACCATGAATGCAGGAGGATCACACCTTGGCCCAGAGCCAGACCATAAAGCATGCAGAGGAGGACGCAGGTGAAAATCTCGTGACCCTGCGCTCAAGAATTCTTCTAAAATTACTTACCAGGTTATACAGAAATATCACCATTGCTACTTAAAGCGTTTCCTGTTTATATACCGCTTTGTAGTTTACAGACTGGTGTCCCACACTATTCATGGTGTAATCCACTCCTCACACCCTGCGACTGTGTCCAGGGTGAGATGAGAACAGTGAGGCTGAGAAGCACAAAATTCTCCCAGCTGGGGGTTCAAGATCCCAGGGAGCCCCACGTACCACGGTGTGAATCTAGAATCCCGTGGACATAGGAAGAGGCCCCACCTCTGAACCATGCCAGGGCTTTCTACCCTTGTCAGGAAATTTACATGAGGGTTTGCACAACGTCCAACGCATTCCTGCAAATTCCAGCTCTCTTCCTCATAGCCAGTCTTCCTGTGGGCCTGGAACTCTTGGCAAGTAGGAAAGCCCGGGGGGCGGGAGGATTTCTGGGAAGAGGCCGGAGCCCTGGGCGCTGCGACACTCGTGGGTCGCCTCTGAAGGGGCCTTCGGGCACCCTTTGCCCCAGCTGTTTCCCCACCGACCCGACCTCAATGCCCCCCAGAACTGCAGGGCTCCCCCCAGGGCCTCAGGGCCCCCCGAGGACCGCAGGGTCCCTCAGAACTGCAGGGCTCCCCCCAGGACCCCCCAAGACCACAGGGTCCCCCACGTCTTCAGCTCCCCCCGCGGGACCACGGGCCTCCCAGGCACTCAGGACTCCTCAGGACCACAGGACTGGTCAGGACCGCAGCCTCCCCAGGACCTCAGGGCCCCAGGAAGACCGCAGGGCACCCCCAGCACCGCAGGCTCCCCTACCAGGACCTCAAAACCCCCCAGAACTGCAGGGGCGCCCCCAGCCAGGGAGGAGCAGGAGTGGGGGAGGGGCTCACCGCATCCCGCAGCGCGCGCCCGCCGGGGGCTTCAGGGCCCCGCGCGTCCATGTGGACCGTGGGCCGGGAGCTTCAAGGGGGTCCCGTGGGCCGCGCGGACCCGGCGCGAGGTGGCGGCAGCTGAGCTCCGCGATTCCTGTGCAGGCCGCCGGGAGGCCTCGGGCGGAGCGCGCTGCGTTCCAGGGCGGAGGCGGAGGCGGAGGCGGAGCCGGAGCGGGGAGGCGGGCGCTGCACCTGCCGGGACTCAAGTCACTGAGGGGCCGCCTGGGAGGACTCGTCCGCGCCCCAGGCTCCGCGCCTTCCCGAACCGAGCCGAGCCGAGGCCCCGGGACGGCCTGGACCGAGCCGCGTTACTCAGGAGGGGCCGTGGGCGCCACCGGCACCCCCAAAACCCTCCGCACGGGCGATGAATGGGCCTCGGTCACCCCTGCTGCGTTTTTCAGAGACGGGGTTCGCTCTGTGGCCCAGGCTGGAGTGCAGGGGCGACCACGGCTCCCCGCAGCCTCGACTTCTCGGGCCCAAGCGATCCTCCTGCCTCGGCCTGCCCAGCAGCTGGGACCACGGGCGCGCGCCACCGGGTCCGGCTAATCTTTTTTATTTTTTGTAAAGACCGGATCTTACTATGTTGCCCAGGCTGGTCTCGAATTCCTGAGCCTGAGCTCAAGTGATCCTTCCGCCTCGGCCTCCCAAAGCGCTGGGACCGCAGGCCTGGGCCGCCACGCCCGGCCTTCCCTGGCCTCTTCCACACCTGAGTTGTGGCTCATGAGTCACCTTGTGACCTCCTCTCCCCGGACAGTGTTTTAGGGTTACCGGTCTTGTTGCGGTGTCTATGCCCCTGTGCAGCGCTGTGGGAGCAGGGCTGTGTCTGGGTTACCCCAGCATCCCCAGGGCCCAGCCCAGTGACCACACCTGGAAGCGCTGGTGTCTAAATGTGCAGATAAATAAAACACAGCCACCCAGCATCACCGCTGTGGAGTGACAGTCCCCGCCAGGTTACTTCAGGGCGGACGTCCGTGGCCTGAACCCCAAAGGCCAGGCGGTGAGTCCAGGCCACGGTGCCCAGCGAGGAGCAGTTGTCCCCGAAAACCCAAACACCCCAGAGGGGATGTGAGAACCGCCGCAGAGAGCAGGCCCATCACACAGACGGGCGCCGAGGCAGGAAATTAGCTCAAATGCAGCTTAGGGAAGGAAGCACGCCCATCTCTACTGCTGTCCTGCTGCCCACGAGTGCCCCATACGTGAGTTCCGATAAACTCGCCGACTCACCAAGCTGGACTCCGCCCAGTCGTTCTTTGGTCTCTCGGCAACTCCTACTTTGGGGTAAGGTTTTAAATGTGATTCTCGGTTTTTCTCATTACAAGTGGTCATCAGGAAAACACAAACCAAAACCACAGTGAGCTCCCACTGCACCCCACCAGCATGGCTAGACTCACAGACAAACATAAGTCGGAGAGGCGTGTGGGGATTGTGGCCCCGCACGCGGCTGGTGGGGCTGTGAAAGGCTGCAGGGCTGGGGAAAAGGTGGGTGGGTCCTCAAAAGTGAAGCAGTTTCCACAGGGCCCAGCCGCCTCACTCCAGGCATATACGGAGAGAAACGACTCACAAATGCACCCGTTCTACTGCAGCGTCGGTAATGCTCAAAAGGCGGAAACCACCCAAATGTCCACCCCCCAGTAAGTGAGTAACAAGATGCAGGTGATAGAATATTCCTCAGCCACACAAAGGAGTGAGGCGATGACGCACGCTATGAAGCCGGTGGGCCTTGGGGACAACGCTGGGTGGCAGAGGCCAGGCGTGAAGACCCTGCGTGGTAAGTGCATGTGCTGGTGAGTTGACTGCTGTTGGTGAGGCTACAAGGACGCGGGAGAGACTTAGGAGGTCCGGGTTTCTTTGTAGGGGGACAAAAATGTTCTACAATTAGATCGTAAGAACGTTGCACAACCCTGTGAATATACTCAAAACTGTTCAATTAGGCCCTTTAAATGGGTGGATTTTGTGGTATGTGAATTATATTTCAATGAAGCTGTTAAAATAATTTTTTAAAAGCATGACCGTTTTGCCACTTTTTGTGTCCTTTTAGCACCCTCCTCTTTTTTCTGTCTCCGAGAGAGGCTGAGATACAAATGCAGTTGTAGGGGCCAGTGTGGACGGTTGAGAAAGACATGGTGTGGTGGAAAGTGGCTGCTGTGCTGCGGCTCCCGGCCCTCCCCCCGGACCATTCAGGCCTAAGGAATCCTGCGGGCGGCTTCTGGCTTCTCAGGGAAGCCAGCGTGGGTGGGTGCTGAGGAGGAGGAGGGGCCAGAAGATGCCACAGTGCAGGGTGGACGGCCTGCACCCAGGAAAGCCTGCCTGGCATGGGGGGCAAGGAGTACAAGCCGGTGGTGTTTCCATCAGAAACACACCTGTGTCAAGAACCAGGTCACTCAAGCTAACTCAAGGGAAAAACAGGAAATGACTCCTGTGGAGAGGAGGCAGACACAGCGGGCTCTTCAGAGGGTGCTCATCTCTGGAGGCGGGAGGAGCTGGGCATGGTGCCCCACGGCAGGGCCACAACAAGGTTCCTCATCAGCCCACAGGCAACTTTCCTAACCACAAACAACTAAACGAGCAGGGAGCCAGTCAGACTGCCCTCCTTCCTCCCTTCCAGAAAGTTCTAGAACGCCCACCCTTCTCTTACTCTGCAGGCACTGAGCTCGAGGTGAGGCCGGAAGCTTTACTCCCCAGACAGCCCAGCATCAAGCTCATGGCTTCAGGGGACGGCTCTCTCGTGGTGGGGGCAGGCGCAGACCCAAGGGCTTTCAGCGTCTCCAAGGCGGGGCTGCTGCTCCTCCCTTATTCAGGCAGAGCAAGGGCCACAGAGCTCTCGACAGCACTGAGCTCACCAGTGATAAAGCACTTCGGACATCCGTGAAGGCAGACTGGCGTTGGGACTGTGGAGAGCTTGTGGGCACCCCATGGAGCCGGTTATCTTCAGATGTTGACTGGCTGACCCTGGGTGCAGGTTCAAGCTGGGCACCCTGTCCTCACGGGCTGTGCTTTCCTAACCAGACAGCTGAACGAGCTGGGAGCCCCACCGGCCCACAAGAGCCTGGAACTGGCTGTGCAGAAGATCTGACCTGGGAACGCCTCTCTCCTCTCCAGCCGGCATCGGCCAGTCCCTCCAGCCCAGGCTGCTATTTCAGGTCAGGCTTCTGGGACAGCGCGAGTAGGAACACCCAGCATTGCTGCACACAGCAGCCCCAGGCCCCACCAAGATAGGCCACGTGGTCTGGTCTGGGAGATGACAGGACTGCCTTTCTTTTTTATGAGATTGGGTCTTGCTGTGTCACCCAGGCTGGAGTGCAGTGGTGCAATCATAGCTCACTGTAGCCTTGCACTGGGCTCAAGGGATCCTCCTGCCTCAGCCTCCTGAGTAGGTGGGACTATGGAGGCACACCACAATGCCTGGCTACTATTTTTTATTATTTTTCTAGAGATAGGGATCTCCCTATGATGCCAGGGCTGGTCTCAAACTCCTGAGCTCAAGTGATCCTCCCACCTCGACCCCCAAAGCGCTGGACTTACAGGCATGAGGCCACACTGACTAAGGACTGGCTTTCGAACAAAGCTCTTCAGCTGGATCTGATGGAGACAACACAGGACCACCTTTCAGGAAGCAAAGCTTCAGGAAGCCTGGTATGCCCCCCTAAGAAAGGAGTAGGGTCCCACAGAGGGGTCCAGGATCCCTTGCTGAACTGGGAAAACTGAAGGCTCGGGGGTTGGAGGTGGCCATGAGGTGGGGATCATGGCAGTAAGCAAGGGGAGAACCCGCAGGATGGCAAGTCGCTGCACGAGAGGCATTTCTAAGGCAGATGCTGGAGGTGGAGCCATTGGAGGAGGCGGCAAAGTCCTCCATGTGGCCGGGGAAAGAGGTGGTTCGGCCAGGACAAAGTTCACTGCAGTAAGGGGGTCAAGATCCAGGTGGTTAAAACAGCACATCTCAGGCTCTCCAGCCACAGCACCTAACCACGGTGGGAGCGTGTGAAAAGACACTCCTGGCCCCTCCAGAATCTACTCACAGCACTCGCCAAAGCTGAGGAGTCTGCATTTCCAGGAGCTCGGCACACATCGTCTGTGCATGCCAACGAGCCTTCACAGTTCTGGGCCTGCGTGGAAGTCAGTGCAATGCTGGCAGGGCTCGGAGGAGAGAAAGGAAGGCTTAGACTTGTGTGGGCTGTGGGGGTGCCACAAAGCTCCCAGGGGCTCCGGGATGGTAAGGAGAGAGTAGGTGGGAGACAGAGGAAGGTGTGTTCTGTGTGCCCAGGGCAGGAAAGGGTTCACAGAGGGAAATATCTAAATGCCATTGCCGGAAGAAGAACTGATGCTATTTCCCATGTTCTCATTAAACTCAGACAACAACCCATATACGGCAAATGTTGCTATCCACCTGACACATGCAGGATGGGGTTTGGAATTCAAACGCACTGACTCTCAATTGTGTTGTCTGAGGTCACTGGACAGTGTCAGGAGCAGGGGGCTGCCAGGGGATCCAGGGCCAGCATGGAGGGGCCGCCATCTTCCCTGTCCTGGCCAGCCCCAAGGACCAGCAGAAGATACAGGCAGGACAGAGGCCACTGCCGCCCGGGCCCCACTCTGCCACCCCTCCCTCGTTCTGTCTGTGGTGTGTGAAGGTGCCTGGGAGCCTTCATTCTTAAAGGTCTGTGGGAGGCCAGGAATCTGGGCCTGAGGTGGACCCACACAGGAAAAAGTGGAGAGGCAGTAGAAAAAAACATAGGAGAAAAATTTCATGACATTGGATTTGACAATGAGTTTTTGAATATGGCACCAAAAATATAGGCAACAAAAAAATTAGACAAATTGGACTTCCTGAAAATTAAAAACTTTTGTGCATCAAAGGACACTATCAATAGAGTGAAAAGTGTAATCCCAGCACTTTGGGAGGCTGAGGCGGGCAGATCACCTGAGGTCAGGAGTTCGAGACCAGCCTGGCCAACATGGTGAAACTCCGTCTCTACTAAAAATACAAAAATTAGCCAGACGTGGTGGTGGACACCTGTAATCCCAGCTACTCGGGAGGCTGAGGCAGGAGAATCACTTGAACCTGGGAGGCAGAGGCTGCAGTGAGCCGAGATCATGCCACTGCACTCCAGCCTGGGCAACAGAGTGAGACTCTGTCTCAAAAAAAACCCAAAAAACAAAAACCAAACAACAACAACAACAAAATAGAGAAGATAATCCATAGAATGGGGAAGATACGATAGATTATGTATCTGATGCGGAATTGATGTCCAGGATATATAAAGAACTCCTGCAATCTAGCAACAAGACAAACAAGCAACCTGATTCAAAAATGGGGAAAGACAAAGCAATCTACAGATTTGATGCTATTTCTCTCAAACTATCAATGTTATTTTCACAGAATTAGGAAAAAACTACTTTAAAATTCATGTGGAACCAAGAAGAGCCAGAATGGAAAAAGCAAACCTAAGCAAAAAGGACAAAGCTAGAGGCACCACATTACACAACTTCGAACTACACTACAAGGCTACAGTAACCAAAACAGCATGGTACTTGTGCAAAAATAGGCACAAATCAATGGAACAGAATAGAGAACCCAGAAATAAAGCTGCACATCTACAACTAACTGATCTTTGACAATGTCAACAAAATAAGCAATTGGAAAAGGACTCCCTTATTCAACAAATGGTGTTGGAATAGCTGGCATGCCATTTGCAAAGAATTAAACTGGACCCCTACCTCTCACCACATATAAAAACTAACTCAAAATGGATTAAAGATTTAACTGTAAGACCTCAAGTTATAAAAACTCTAGAACAAACCTAGGAAATAGTTTTCTGGACATTGGCCTAGGCGAAGAATTTATGACTGAGTCCTCAAAAGCGATTGCAACAAAACCAAAAATTGACATCTGGGACCTGCTTAAACTAAAAAGCTTTTGTACAGCAAAATAAACTATCAACAGAGTAAACTGACAACCTACATAATGGAAGAAAATATTTATAAACTATGTGTCCAACAAAGGGCTAATATCCAGAATCCATAAGGAACCCAAAATCAACAAGAAAAAAAAAAAAAACAAAAAAACCCCACTTCATTAAAGGAGAAAAGACATTGAACAGACACTTCTCAAAAGAAGATACACAAGCAGCCAACAAGCATGAAAAAATGCTCAACATTACTAATTATTGGAGAAATACAAATCAAAACCACAGTGAGGCACCAACAGATGTTGGTGAGGCTACAGAGAAAAAAGGAAACACTTATACATTGTTGGTGGGAAGGTAAATTAGTTCAGCCATTGTGGAAAGCAGTTTGGAGATTTCTCAAAGAACTAAAAATAGAACTACCATTCAACCCAGGAATCCCATTACTGGGTATATACCCAAAGGAAAATAAATTGTTTTCCCAAACAGACACCTGCACTTGTATGTTTATTGAAGCTCTAGTCACGATAGCAGAGACATGAAAACCCTCCAGGGTCCATCAACAGATGATTGGATAAAGCAAATGTGGTACATACACACCACGGAATACCATGAGCCATAAAAAAAGAACGAAATCACGTCCTTTGCAGCCACATGGGTGCAGCTGAAGGCCATTATCTAAGCAAATTAACGCAGGAACAGAAAACCAAATACCACATGTTCTCACTTTTAAGTAGGAACTGCATCTTGGGTACACATGGACATAAAGATGGGAGCAACAGACACTGGGACTCCAAAACGAGGGAGGGCTGAAAAGCTTTCTTCTTCTTCTTCCTTTTTTTTTTTTTGAGACGGAATCTCACTCTGTTGCCCAGGCTGGAGTGCAGTGGTGCGATCTTGGCTCACTGCAAGCTTGGCCTCCTGGGTTCACACCATTCTCCTGCCTCAGCCTCCCGAGTAACTGAGACTACAGGCACCCACCACCATGCCCGGCTAATTTTTTGTATTTTCAGTAGAGATGGGGTTTCACCATGTTAGCCTGGAGGGTCTCGATCTCCTCACCTCATGATCCGCCTGTCTAGGCCTCCCAAAGTGCTGGGATTACAGGCGTGAGCCACCACAACCAGCCCACAATGACATATTATTAAGCCTTCAAATGGAAGGAAATTCTGGTACATGTTATGACATGGTTTAACCTTGAAGACATTATGTTGAGTAAAATATGTCGGTTATGAAAGGACAAATATTGTCTGATTCCACTTACATGATGTCCCTAAAGTCAAAATCAGAGACTAGCCTGTGCAACATAGTGAGACCCCGTCTCTACCAACAACAACAACAACAAATTACAGCCTGTCGTTCTAGCTACTTAGGAGGCAGAGGCTGGAGGATTGCTTGAGCCACGGTGGCTCATGCCTGTAATCCCAGAGGAGTCTTCCTTTCACACTTTGATGATGATTAATAAATATCAAGAATACAAGTATATATTACCAAGTTTATTTTCTAACTTTCTCAATTTCTCTAAACCCTCTAATTCTGTTGATGGAATAATCTCAATTCTCACTTTTGAAAATTATGAATCAATCTTGTCTATCCCTTATTTAGAAGCTGGAGACCAACCCTAACAATAAGGTGGCCAGGCCAGTGAGACAGCTCCCATCTGCAGCTGGAGGCACTGAAGCCAGCGGACCACGCCTGCTCTGCTCAAACTCTGCAATGCCGATGTGGACTGCGGGTCTTCAAAGTGGTCTCCTCTGCCTTAGGAACACAGCAAGAAAATGACGTGCATTCTTGATTTCACAGCTACTGGAGGAGTCATCGGCCAGATCGGCCGAGCAGTTGTTTCTTTTTGACCCGATAAAATTATTTTTAGAATAGCTCTGTTTTCCTGCTCATGTTTGGCTTAGGATAAATATAGAAATTGTGCCTTCCTCAGCGTATGCCGCCTGGGTGGCACATGAACTGACAAAAGAGAAACTGCTGAGCACTAGCCCAGGGTGAATAATTGACCACGGGAATCTAAATATTAAAGAATATTAATGTGTATTCTGAAGTTATAGAAATTAGCCAGTGTTTCCCTGGTGTGAGGACAGACAATTGGGAAGAAAACAGTCTGGGTAAGACTGAAATAGCTGATTACGAGAGCAAAGATGCAGACCACAAGAGCAGAATGTAGATATGAAACAAAGCTTTAAATTAGAAAACCAGTTTTATTTTGGGTAGTTGAAAACATCCCAGTTCAACCAAGTGTAGGATGCAGCTGTCTTTTATGAAGCATGAGTGCCCATGGAGGTGCCCAGATGCCCCTCGAATCCAGTGTGAATGGCCTTGTTACTAAGGCCTTAAATCTAAGATGCTGCTGATTTTAGGGTGCACTGTTATTACCAAGAAAGGGAGAAATGCTGCCAATTAAACTGTTCAGTTTTTTTTTTTGTACTCATTAAAAGAGCTCTTTTATAGTTATTGATGCTGGTTGATGGATACATGCATTTCATTGTGTTACTCTCTTTTGTGTTCCAAAAGTTTTATTTAAAAGTTATATAAAAGGAGTTCTTTTGGGTATAGAGTTGGGTATACAGATCGGAGTAGAGACTGTTGCCCCTTTGTTTTTTTGAGACAGGGTCTTGCTTTGCTCCCCAGGCTGGAGTGCGATGGCACAATCACGACTCACTGCAGCCTTGACCTCCTGGGCTGAGGTGATCCTCCCACCTCAGACCCCTGAGTAGCTGGGACTACAGATGCACACCACTGTACCCCATTGATTTTTGTATTTTTAGTAGAGATGGGGTCTCACTATGTTGACCGGGCTGGTCTTGAATTCCTAGGCTCAAGAGATCCACCCACCTGAGTCTCCCAAAGTCTTGGGATTATAGGCGTGAGCCACTGCACCTGGCCTGCTCTGTTTTATTTATTCTAAAATAATTGCAATATTTTCGTAAGTTTAATTTTCCTTGTTAATGCAGTATCAACCATTTTCTAATCCCATTAATTATTTACTATGCAATTCTGGTCCTGTTTAAGTGGTCTTTCCAAGAAGTCATGATTGTGGGTAATGAGGACCTCCTGTACTGTGTAGCTTTTGTGGGTGTGAATTTTAAAATAGTGGCTCTCAAATATGGCTACACATCAGAACTTCTGGGGAAGGCTTAAAAGGCCTCCCTGACTGGCACAGTCCCCTTTATCAGTGCTCTGCGGGTGGGCCTGGGCACTTCACCATTTGTGGTTTTAAGGCTGCGCAGAGGTTTCAGTGTGTGACCAAGTGGCTTAAGCTGTGGAATATAGCTTTACACCCGTGGTAGGCAGGGCAGCACAATGGAGGTATTTTACACCAGAAAAGTCCCGGCTCCTCCCACTGTCCTTTGTGGCATTGCTGTCATTCACTTGTCCACAAGCTGTAATCACCCAGTACATTGTTACTTTATATCTTTAAACGGTTGTCTTTAGATCAATTAAGAATAACGAGGTGGTTCACGCCTGTAATCCCAGCACTCTGGGAGACTGAGACGGGTGGATTACCTGAGGTCAGGAGTTCGAGAGCAGCCTGGTCAACAAAACCCCGTCTCTACTAAAAATACAAAAAATAAGCTGGGTGTGGTGGCAAGCGCTTGTAATCCCAGCTACTCAGGAAGCGGAGGCAGAATTGCTTGAACCCGGGAGGCGGAAGTTGCAGTGAGCCGAGATCGCGCCATTGCACTCCAGCCTGGGCAACAAGAGCAAAACTCTGTCTCAAAAAATAATAATAATAATAATAATAATAATAAGGAAAACAAGAGACATTAATTCTCATTTATTCTGCCTCTGATGCTTTCCCTTTCCTGATGTAGATCTAAGCTTCTGACCTGTATCATCTTCCTTGTCTCTTCTCTAACATTTCTCACAGGGCAGGTCTACTGGCAATACATTCCTTCAGTTTTTGTTTTTCTGAGAAAGTATTTATTTTTCCTGCACCTTAAGGATACTTTTGCTATATAGAATTCTAGGTGGGCAGATTTTTTTTTTTTTTCAATTGCAACACTTTAAAGATTTCACCCCACCCTTTTCTTATCTGCATGATTTCTAACAAGAAGTCTACTGTCATTTTTATTCATATTCCTCTTGTTAACTTAAAAAATCACACAACACTGCATTTAGAAAAGGAGACCATTTCTTAAACAACTTGCAAGGTGGACATCCCACCAGACCAGACACAGGCCCTTCAGAGGAGAGGATGGGGCAGGAGCTTTATGCTGACTGGGTTGGCTAAACATACTTATTCAACAGGTTACAGGAGGAGCTATGAATATTCATGAAGGCAGTTCTGCCATATGTATCATATAACACATGTTCACTTTGTGGTGGAGATGTAACATTTAAATGTATTATAGTTAGGCCCTATACATCAAAAGGTCTTTCTAAGACCCAAAGGCACTTGGTGCATAGACTTTGTAAACCAGCCAGGACCAGCCACGGTCAGTGGTCTCTTACCAGGAGAGTTACTGAAATCTGTCTCTTGTCTAGTCAGAGGTGTAGCTGTGGCTGGTGGATGGGGGTTCAGTCAGGCAGGTTTATTCAGTTTGAATGTGACAAACCTAGGTGTGGTTTTTGTTTTTGTTTCGCTTTATGTTTTTCGTTATTTGTTCTGATGGATGTTCTGTATGTTTCCTGGATGTATGGTTTGGTGTCTGTCATTAATTTGGGGACAGTCACACCATTCCACCATTTCTCCTGCCCCTTCTTCTCTTTCCGCCTTCTGATTCTCCCATTGTGCCAGTCATATCCTTCGATGTTGTTCTTGGGTGGTGTCTTCTGTTGGTGTATTCGGCTGTTCTTGCATTGCTATAAAGAAATACCTGAGACAGAATAATTTATAAAGAGATTTGATTGGCTCACAGTTCTTGCAGGCCATACCAGCATGGCACCAGCATCTGCTCAGCTTCTTGGGGGCATCAGGGAACTTTTACTCATGGCGGAAGGCAAAGTGAGAGCAGGCATTTCACAGGGTGAAAGCAGGAGCAAGAGAGAGAGTGAGGGGGTGGGTAGGTGCCACACACTTTAAAAAAAAACAGGGTGGGCACGGTGGCTCATGCCTATAATTGCAGCACTTTGGGAGGCCGAGGTGGGTGGATCATGAGGTAAGGAGTTCGAGACCAGCCTGGTCAACATGGTGAAACCCCATCTCTACTAAAAATACAATAAATTAGCTGGGCATAGTGGCGCACGCCCGTAATCCCAGCTACTTGGGAGACTGAGGCACAAGAATCACTTAAACCCAGGAGGCGGAGGTTGCAGTAAGATGAGACTATACCACTGCACTCCAGTTGGGGTAATAGAACGAGACTCCATCTCAAAACAAAAACAAAAACAAAAAACAGTTCTCACATGAACTCAGAGTGAGAGCTTACTCATCACCAAGAGACTGAAGGGATGGTGCAAGCCATTCATGAGGGACCCGCCCCCATGATGCAAACACCCCCTGCCAAGCCCCACCTCCAGAGCAGATGATTATAACTCAACATGAGATTGGTGGGGACACACGCTCAAACTAGATCAGTTGATTTTTTTTTCCATCCCCTTTTCTCCTTGCATTTCAGTTTCGGAAGCTTCTGTTGATTTATTTTCATATTCACTGATTCTTCCCTTTATTCTATCTAGTCAGTTAATGAGCATTCTTTATTTCTATTAGTGTGTTTTTTACTTCTAGCATGTTTTTTTGATTATTATTGTTTCCATCTCTCTGCTGACATTACCTATCTAGTCTTGCATGTTGTCTAATCTTTCCGCTAAAGCCAGTCTATCCAGGAGTTTCTGCTTTGGGTGAGCAGCTCTCAGGTGCTGTGTCTCCCTGGATGTGCCTGTCTCTTCAGAGCAGGGTGCCAGTTTGTCTGGGAGCCTCAGTTCTCTGATGGGCCCATGAAGAGGCTGCTGGTTTGCCACGCGCCCTGCTATTCTTTGCTATAAGCATGGGAGTGGTGACTGCCAAGCACGTCACGACACCAGTTGAAGTTGTGGAACTTCAGACCCAGGCTCCTAAAGCGTGACTTCCAATCCACCTTCTGTACAGGTTTCCTTAAAAAAATGGGGTGCGCGACCGGCACGGTGGCTCACTCCTGTAATCCCAGCACTTTGGGAGGCCTAGGTGAGAGGATGATTTGAAACCAGGAGTTCAAAGACCAACCTGGCCAACATAGTGAGACCCTGTCTCTATTAAATAAATAAATGAAATAAAAATAAATAGGCTGAGTGAGACACAGGGGCTCCAGTCTTCCTCTGATGTCCCAGCTCTCAGAACAAGGTTGCTTTGCTTGCTTTTCCTTTTATAAGCACCATGTGTTAGGCAACTGCTTAGGTGGTTCCCTGAGGTATTCATGCTCCTACGTGACACCCTCCTCTGCATGGGGCCAACCCAGTGACTGTTTCTCATGAGCTGAGCCTGGAAAGCATGAGGCACAGCTCTGCTTCCTCGTGTCACAGCTCTGATCTTGTCAGTCTCTCATTGGCTCCTGCAACAAATGACCACAAGCTAAGTGGCTTTTACAACAGCGGAAGTTTATTCCTTCACAGGTCTGGAAGCCAGAAGTCCAAAATCACTTTTAATGGGCTGAAATCAAGGCATTGGCAGGTCCAGGCTCCCTCGCATGGCTCCTGGAGAGAATCTGTTCCTTGTTTCTGGCGCCTCTGGTGGCTCCCGCGTTACTTGGCTTGTGATTGCATCACGTCCACTTTCAGGGCCCCATCTTCATCTCTGCTCCATCTTCCCATGGCCCTCTCTTCTGTGTGGCACCACATTTCCTTCTGCCTCCCTCTTACAAAGATGCATGTGGCCAGGCATGCTGGCTCATGCCTGTCATCCCAGCACTTTGAGAGGCCAAGGCAGGAGGGTCGCTTGAGGCCAGGAGTTCAAGACCAGCCTGGCCAACACAGAGACCCTGTCTCTGTTGTATTTATTTAATTATTTTTGAGATAGGGTCTCACTTTGTCACCTAGGTTAGAGTGCAGTGGTGCGATCCTGGCTCACTGCAGCCTCAACCTCCTGGGCTCAAGCAATCCTTCCACCTCAGGAGTAGCTGGGACTACAGGTGCACACCACCATGCCCAGATAATTTTTCTATCTTTTGTAGAGATGAGGTCTTGCCATGTTGCTCAGGCTGGTATTGAACTCCTGGGTTCAAGAGATTTACCCAACTCAGGCTCCCAAAGTGCTGGGATTACAGGTGTGAGCCACAGTGTTTAGGACCCACTCGGATAATCCAGGACAATCTCTCTATCTCAAGATCCTTAATGACATCCGAAAAAAAAATACTGTTTTCCCGTACGAGGTAATATTTACAGGTTGCCTGGATTAGGACTTCATGGCTTTATAAGGGCCATTTTCCAGCTGTGCATGGCTTGGTGGGCTTCTCGTGTTTGTAGGAAGCTATGTGACAAGCGCAGTACCTGCAATGAGCTGTGACTGGCTGATGTAGACTGGGGTGGACTCCAGACAGGTGGTGCTCGAAAAGGTACAAACTCACTCTGCGGTCATCAACTCACCTTTCGGGGTGCCTCTGAGGGGTGAGGCCTGTGGAGTGAGGTCCAAGCATGCCAGATTTTGTCCACTGAGCCAGGCTCCTGGAGGCCCTGACAGATGCAGCTCCAGGCCCCAGGCTGCACAATTTGCCCCATGCCTCCACAGCCTCCGGATTTAGGATAACCGAGGCCAGCGTCTGGGACCCCAGTGCTCCAGTGAGGGTCAAGGAAGCCCGGAGCTTACTCCAACCTCCAGGGCAGAGAGGACGGAAGATCCCAAAGGCTCCAGGGCTCGCGGAAGGGCGCGGCTGAGCAGGGGCAGCTGCTTTTTCTCTCCCAGGCTTCCTGCTGTGCCTTTTACTACCCTCTACCTTCCTGGTGCTGGGGCTCCACAGGGCTGGCTCTAAAGAAGTCCCAACGCCAGCCTGGGGGCGCAAGGAGGGAGCAGCCTGTTTCGATTGTCGGAGACTTGCTCCTAGTTAGGTGGTAACTGTCCTTATGATCCCCCACAAAACCAGCCAGGCAGGGGGCAGAGAGCCAGGCTCGTGGAGAAGAGGCCGCTGCTGGAGGGGAAGCAACCCTGAGCGTGGACCCCTCAACCTTGCCCCTTACCCGTGCACCCCTCGCCTCACACCCTCGCGGCCCTCATCCACGCGTCCCTCACCCTACACCCACCCACCTGTCACTCGTTCGCCCCCGTCCCCTCCCCCCTCACCCGCGCGCCCCTCACCCCTCACCCGCGCGCCCCTCACCCCTCACCCGCGCGCCCCTCATCCACGCGCCCCTCGCCCTTCAGTCCTCACCCGCGCGGGCCAAGAGGGTCCCGGGCGAGGGCAGCTCCCTGCGGGTGGGTGCGGGGCTCCGAGTGGGCTCGGCCTGCGAGGCCGGCAGCAGGGCCCAGGCTCCGCACACGCCTGGCCTCGGAGTCTGTCTTGAGGCTCAGGAGCTGCCTTTTCTGCAAATAGGCGCCCAGCGGTTCAGCCCTGAGAACTGCACGGGGATGGGGGGAGGTCGCCCCGCGTTTCTTCAGCGACAGCGACCATGGCCACAACCACGATGATGACAACGGCCACGGTGACGGCCGCGCGTCCAGCCGGCCCCCCGGTGACGGCCCCGGAGCATCTGCTCGCCGGGCGCTTGCATCGGAGCGGATCCGCGCGGGGCGCTACGTTTCCCGAGACCCTGGCCGCCCCCGGGCGCTGCGAACTCCCACCGGGTGCCCGGGTCTCCTGGGTCAGGACGGAGCTGGACGAGACTCGTCCCCGGGCGCCCGCGTTCAGGACACGCACGATGGGAACGTCCGGACCCTGCCGCCCCCGCCCTCCAGGACCACGCCCTCCGCTAGGGTGGCCGCGCGCCGGGACAGCTGGAGACGGGTTCACGCGGGAGACGGGTTCCTGTGGGCGCCAGGCCTGAGGGGCCGACCCGCCCGGCTGGTATTTCCCGACCGGCCGGGAGAAGCCACGCTCCCCCGCCGCCCCGACAGCCCCGGCCCCCGGCCCCGCCTCGGCCAACCCCACCCCGCGCGCTCTAGGACCCGGCGGCGCCGCCCAACAGCTCCGGCGTGGGCGGGGCCCGGCATTGTGACGCCGCGGGGCGGGGTTTCCCGGCGCCGGAGCGGACGGACGCTGAGACGCGCGCGGTTAAGCGGCGCGGGGACGCGGGGCGCAGGGCGCTGGGCTAGGGGCGCAGGTAAGGAACGCGGGGGCGGCGCGGGGTCCTCGCGGGGCGGCCTGGGGCGGCCGAGGACGCGGGGCCAGGGCAGTTGGCCGCTGCCCCCAGTCCCCCGGCTTGGTCCTGTGGGTCACCGGCCCGGCACCCCCTCCCACGAGCCGTGCGCCCCATCCTGGGCCTGCGCCCCCTTCCCCGACCCCATCCCGGGACGCGCGTGGACTCCCGCCGGCTAAGCGCACCCGGGCGGTGACACCAGGGGCTGCGCCCGTCCTCGACCCCGACCCTGGGAACCCTCCCCAGCCCCCGCCGGGTGCGTCTCGGGACCCCCAGACACCCCCGCGCCCCGGTCGCCCACGCTCTGCCTCGGGTCCTGGGGCCGGCGCGGGTCGGGTCGGGTCGGGTCGGGTCCTTGCGCGCCGGCCCAGCCTCCCTGGCGGGACTCCAGCCGCTCCCCGCTCCCCGCAGGCTCCGAGGCCGCAGGAGCGCGCGGAGCGGCGATGAGCAGGCGGCCGGTGGCCCGCGGGGCGCGGAGCTGGTGACAGCCTCGGCCAGGCGGGCGCTGCGATGGAGGCCGAGGGCCTGGACTGGCTTCTGGTGCCACTGCACCAGTTGGTGTCCTGGGGCGCGGCCGCGGCCATGGTCTTCGGAGGGGTGGTGCCCTACGTCCCGCAGTACCGGGACATCCGCAGGACGCAGAACGCCGACGGGTTCTCCACCTACGTGTGCCTGGTGCTGCTGGTGGCCAACATTTTGCGGATACTCTTCTGGTAAGTTGGGGGTTTGCTTTCCCGGGCTGCGCTCGGAGAAGAGGGTTTCTCCTTTGGAGTTTCTGGTTGAGTCCGGGGGAGCAGCAGGGTCCACACCTCCTGGCTGGCCAGCGTCCTGCTCTGCCGTCGATGGGGTGCGTGGCTGCAGGCGAGTCACTTCTTAGGGTGAGATTATTTTTTCCAGAAAAACGGTGGGATTGGAGAATAGAATCTCAGAGAAAATCTCCAGATCTGCCTTCTCGCATAATGCCCCGCACGGGTGCTTAGCAGGGACCTCTCTGCTGGGCAATGGCCTAGGCCTGCCTGTAGAGAGGAGCCGTTCCTGCCCGCCTTTCTCATGTTGTGTCGTTTTTCTTTATTGTTTTGAGAAAGGGTCTTGCTCTGTGGTCCAGGCTGAAGTGCATGATGTGATGACAGCTTACTGCAGCCTCCACGTTCCTGGGCTTGGGTGATCCTCCCACCTCAGCCTCCCAAGTAGCTGGGACCACAGGTGCACCACCACACCCGGCTAATTGTTTTTTTGTATTTTTGGTAGAGACGGGGGGGCGGGGGGGTTCACTATGTTGCCCAGGCTAGTCTCGAACTCCTGGCCTCAAGCATTCTTCCCCACTGGGCCTCTGAAAGTGCTGGGATTACAGGCTGAGCCACGGCGCCTGGGCTGCCTTGTTTAAATAGGAAGTCACGTTCTCTGGAGACTGTCTTGTTCCTCTCAGGCCAACTTCCTCTTTGTATTTGCGTTAGGCTGAGGAAATTGAAATTAATTTTAACAGTTGTTGAAGCCAGACATAATTGGGAGAATGAGTTTTTGGAGAAAATGAAGAGGTCACACAGCTGCATTCTAAGGCCAAAAACATCTGGAATTGTTCTTTCTTCCGGGTGATCCCAGCCTCTCTGTCCATGTAGACTGGAAGGTGTCTGCTGCTCTTCCCATGAAGAGGGCCTGGTGAGGGGTGGAGAGAAGGAGTCTAGGCAGCTGGTGTCAAGAACTCTGCTTCTGACTCTGGTCACTGAGTAATCATGTACCTGCTTCTTTGCCTGTTAGTTTTTTGTTTTTTGTTTTTTTTTGAGACAGAGTCTCACACTCTTGTCAGGCTGGAGTGCAGTGATACAATCTCGGCTCACTGCAACCTCTGCCTCCTGGGTTCAAGTGATTCTCCTGCCTCAGCCTCCTGAGTAGCTGGGACTACAGGCTCCCGCTGCTGTACCCAGGTAATTTTTGTATTTTTAGTAGATACGATGGTCACCATGTTGACCAGGATGGTCTCGGTCTCTTGACCTCGTGATCCACTCACCTCGACCTCCCAAAGTGTTGGGATTACAAGCGTGAGCCACCACGCCTGGCCTGCCTGTTTTAAGTCAACCTTGTTAAGGTGTGATTTGCATTCCATGAAATGCACCCCTTTCGTGTCCATTTGATGAGTTCTGATGCTGGGGTGTCCCCTGTGTTCATGAACTGGGGTGCTCCCTGCTCCACAGCCTTCATCCCAGCCTTGGCCGTGGGCAGCCGTTGGTCCACGTGTCCCTGGGTGTTAGTTTTGCCTTTGCCGGGGATTTTTAGGTGAGCGAGTGGGTTGGCTGCCTCTTCCCCAGAGTTGTCTCTGAGGCAGGGAGGTTTGTCCCCTGCAGCGATCTCGGAGGGGGATTTTGGGTCCGAGTCATGTCTCAAGGTTTGTCTCTGGGCCGGGCTGCATCTGAGGGAGGGTCAGGGGGCTCATTTTGGAGACTGCTTCATTCTTTCCCATCGCCTGCTGTGGAGACAGTGGCTGGCGGTGCTGCAGTGGCCTCAGTGAACGTAAGGTTGACTGGGAAGTAGGTTTCTAATTGTCTAATGCTGTTGAATATTTTGAGTGCACGTTGTGGGAGTTGGGGAGATGCTGGTTGGCAGGCCACCTGCTACAGCCCCAGCTCACATGTGTATGTGGTGAAGGAGCATTTTTAGGGTTATAGAATAAATTTTAGGGTTATAGAATAAATTTAGGGTTATAGAATTACCTTTAGGGTTATAGAATAAATTTTCTCCAAAATAATGGAGGAAAATTGCCTGAGGGTGGATAACCATATGGGAAAAAAGTTCTACTTAGAGGATCCCCCACACCCCCAGTATGCTCATAGTCCCAAGTTGCTAAAAGAAAATAAATTAGGTTGGGCACGGTGGCCCACTCCTGTAATTCCAGCACTTTCGGAGGTCAGGGTGGGAGGATCACTTGAGGCCAGGAGTTCAAGACCAGCCAGCGCAACATAGCAAGACCCCATCTCTACAAAACATTTGAAACATTAGCTTAGGTGTGGTGGCATTACCTGTAGTCCTAGCTACTTTAAGCCCAGGAATTCGAGGCTGCCGTGAGCTGTACTCCAGTCTGACCAAAGAGAGAGACCCTGTCTCAAAAAAAAGAAAGAAAAGAGTCTATCTAATGTCCATCTCAGTATCTGGTTTGGGCAAGTCAGAGATTAACCCAGTTTCCTGGTGCCATCTTGTCGCTGCCTCATGACCTAACTGGCACTTGACGTAGAGGTTTGAAGCTGGGGTGGGAGTTCTTGCTTACAGGCCTTCGAGAGACACTTGAGCTCTTTGTGGAGCACAGGACAGCCTTCCAGGGAATTCTGAACTTTGTCCATGGGTCTCTTCATAGAATCAATAACCTGGGCTGTCGTGGTCATGCATGGCTTGTGTGACCACCGAGTGACAGGGCCCCAGCGTGTCCCAGAAGACGGTGGGATGAAAGCTGGGAGAGCAGAGGGCGCTGGTCCCTGCTGGGCGTCCCTCCAGCTTGAGAATGTGCCTTCTCTGCACTCCACACAGGCACATCCTCTGTGCCCACCCGGTCCCCAGGTCCTGCTGTGCAGAGGGGGATGATGACCCCTTCTGTTTCTCTCTTGGGAGCCTCTTGTGACCCCCACTCCTGGCTTCCCCTCTCCAGGCTTTGTAGGTTCACAGCCTCTTTGATTTCATGGTTTGTAGGGCAGAGGGTTTGTGCTTTAGCGGAAGTGACACGCGGGATGCATCACACACAACCCCAGCTCCACACATGCGCACACACACTCAGTGTTTGGAATGGGAGTGGTGGGGGCAGGAAAGCAGAGGTGGGGCTGGGCCACGCTGGGTGGGGAGAGCAGAGGTGGGGCTGGGCCATGCTCCGGTGAGAGGGGGATGGGGTGGGGGTGGGGAGAGCAGAGGTGGGGCTGGGCTAGGCTCCGGTGAGAGGGGGACGGGGGCGGGGGGAGAACAGAGGTGGGGCTAGGGCAGGCTCTGGTGAGAAGGGTCTGGGGGTCCAGTGAGAAGGGGCCAGGCTCTGGTGAGAAGGGGCTAGGGTCCTGTGAGAAGAGGCCGGGATCCGCCAGCACAGGGGTGGAGTTAGAATCCTCACGCTTCCAAAGGTACTGGGGCATGGTCCTCAGAGCTCCAGTCCCTCTGGGCAGCCCCCCATTGGGGATTTGGGGTACATGGCATATGGGGCTCTGCAGTCCTGCAGGGGCTGCTTTAACAGTACAAACCCAGGGATTCTGAAACATAGGTCACTCATGTTTTTGTTTCTTATAGTCGTTACTACCATTTTGTGAAACCAGCATTCAGCAGATGACACTCTGCGTAATGCCAGTGTGCAGGGTTTGGCACGTTGGAGCAGCAGCCAGGAGAAGGGCTAAATGATGCCTCATAGCTAGTGTTTGCTGGCTGTGAGTATGTGGAGGAAAAGCGGAGAGGCCAGGCAGGGATCAGGCCACACTGGGCTGCAGGGCCCTGGGAGCCTCAGCTCCATCCACAGTAGGACCCAGGCTGGAGCACTCTGAGATGGAGGAATGAAAACATTGTATCAGAGAGGTCATAACATTTTGTTACTGAGGGTGATAGCTTTAGTGGTGCCTAAGAGAAGACACAAAGCTACAAAGCTTCTCTTTTGCTGGATTTTTTTTTTTAGACCAGAGTCTCGCCCTGTTACCCAGGCTGGAGTGCAGCTTGGCTAATTTTTGTATTTTTAGTAGAGACGGGGTTTCACCATATTGGCCAGGCTGGTGTTGAACTCCTGACCTCATGATCCACCTGCCTCGGCCTCCCAAAGTGCTGAGATTACAGGTGTGAGCCACTGTGCCTGGCCCTGCTTGAGTTTTTCTGTGAGATTTTGGAACATAGAGAAGTTTTTCTGTGGGCTTGGTCAGTTATAGTGCGCCCTCTATACTGTCTCTTCCTGTGGGTGGGCACCTGGGCATGGTGACCTGCAGAGCCCACCTTAGACGAGGTATCTTGGTGCTTCCCGAGGAGCAGGCTCCTGCACCACATAGGTGAGCTGCCTGGCACCTGCCATGAGAAGAGGCGTGGAAGTTATGCCCTCAGGCAGGAGAGGAAAAGTGCTCTCCTGAGTTCGTGGCCAGCACGGACTGTTACCACTAAAGGAAGAAAAAGTTAAGTTGAGAAGTAAATGTGGCATCTATTTTAATTAGCTTTTAAAATTACTAATGCTGCTGGATTTTGTTTCGTTTTGTTTTTGTTCCTTCTGCGGAACACTGTGCTTTTTGAAATTTTGTGTTTTTCTTTGTCTTCACCCTATTAGTTCACTGTTCACCTCCGGGTACCCTCTCACTTGGTTTCAAAGGTCCTTATTCTTTGCTGTGCATATCGAGTTCCTCTAGATTTGATTTTTGATGTGTGGATTATGGGGAAGCTCAAACCTTGATTCGCTCGCCTCCTCCTTTGTCTGTCTGGTCATTCATTGCGTCTGTTGAACATTTAAAAAACGCAGGTGGCCTTTCATGCAGAGTGGCCAAAATGGCTCACGTGCAGCCTCATTGCTGGACGTGAACGTGGTGTGAAGCAGCCTCCATGTGTCCCAGGGCACTGGCCTATTTTAGATGCCTGCCCAGTGTCACCTCCTCAGCCTCAGGTCGCTGTGGGTGAGTTGACCGGCACCCAGGCCACTTGGTAGCCAGTGGAGAACGGCCCTGGAAGTGACTGTGAGCTTGGCTGTATTCTCCAGCCTTGGGGGTTGCGATCTATGCTGTGTAATATACCGTAACAGTGCAGAGGCCAAGGCCTGGAGGGGGCCGGTGTGGGGGCTGGAACCAGCCTGTGGGCAGAGTGCCCATGCGTCCTGCACTCCTGCTCATACAGCGTCCCTGCTCCCCCGACCTGTGCCTCAGGCCCAGAAAACCCCCTTTCAAGCTGCCTCTTTCCCGCTGGCCATCCTCTGTCCCCGGGCCCACCACCCTCCCTTCCTCCCTTTGCCTCTTTGTCTCGCCTTGTGCGTTTCTTGGAGGCTTCCTAGGGAAGCATCCAGTGAGGCAAGGGGACCGTGGTGGCCCCTGCTGACCTGGGTGATATTCCTGGAGGTGCAGCTTGTCTGCCTGCCTGCCTGGCCCCCTGTCCACCCTGGGCCTGGGCTGCTGTTTTCTCTACCCTTCCGTCTGCTCCCCGAGTCTCTGTGACCTCAGGCAGCCTCTCCCTCTGCTGAGGAGCTCCCAGGAGACAGGGAAGGAAGGGCCTTGGTCTCTGGAGCCAGCACAGAGGGAATCAGCATGGCCGCCCTCTGAGGACTGCATCCTGGCTCCCTGTCCTCCCAGGAGAATGTCTGTGGCTCTTTCCAGGTTGCTGTGGGAGCCTCACCTGCAAGTGGCACCTTCTCACCTGCTGGGCTGGCTCACCTGCTAAGGGGGCTGCAGGGTTCCCCCTACTCCTGTTTTGTGTTGATAAGGGGGTGCTAAGGGGGCTCTGGGGTTCCCCCTTCTGCTTTGTGTTGGTAAGAGGGTGTTAAGAGGGCTGCCCAGCTTCGTGAGAGCTAGAGAGAGGTGGGGGCTGTGGTGGTTGTTGCTGAGTCTTCCAGTTTTTCAGAAGTTGGGAAATTAGGCTGTGATGTAGGATCTCCTGACTTTGACACGGTGGCGGCCAATTCAAGTATTGAAAATTCCCTTCAGGGCCGGGCGCGGTGGCTCAAGCTGTCATCCCAGCACTGTGGGAGGCCGAGACAGGCGGATCACGAGGTCAGGAGATCGAGACCATCCTGGCTAACACGGTGAAACCCCGTCTCTACTAAAAAAATACAAAAAAGGAGAATGGCGTAAACCCGGGAGGCGGAGCCTGCAGTGAGCTGAGATCCGGCCACTGCACTCTAGCCTGGGCAACAGAGCGAGACTCCGTCTCAAAAAAAAAAAAAAAAAGAAAAAAAGAAAATTCCCTTCAGTCCAAACTGCAGGCTGATTGAGATTCCCGCCCTGGGACAGTCAGGGAGGGTCAGGGCTGGGTCTTTCCATGAGTGCATGCCACACACAGCCCAGCCTTGGAGATGGTGGCTCTGCAGGCCCGTGTCCCAGCTCTGTGGTGACTCTGGCAGATGGGGAGACCATAGGGCCTGCCAGTCATTGGCCTGTGGTTCTGCCCTGCAGAGGCTCATGGCTGAGCTGATGAGATGCTCAACCCTGGTCAAAAGTCAGCAAGAAGGCCTGGGAGCCTGCAGCTAGGGGAGCACGGGGCCAGGGAGGCCTGGAGGCGGGGGTGGTACAGACCCTTGGCTGCCTTCTCCTCTCCTGTGGGAGTGTGTGTGCATGTGGAAATTCCGTGTCTGGCCCACCTGCTGCTCTGCACACTGACCCAGCCTTCCACAGGCAGGAAGCAGGGCTGCTGTGAGCTAGAAACTGGGCTTCTTGCCTGGTGGCAGCCCCGAGGCTGCAGGGAGGGCCTGGGGCACCTGAGCTGAGCTGTGGGAGGGGGACTCAGGACCACCAGACCCGGGATCAGTGCCTGGGCCACTGGTTCTGGGGAGGGCCAGATGTGCTGAGGGGTCCCGAGTCAGGCTGTGTGGGGGTCTTATGGCCCCTCACTGGAGCCGCACCCCACCTGGAGTCTGGGAGATGGGCAACAGTTGCCTGGTCACTCTGGTGTTCACCAACCGGGCTCCTTCCCCGGGATGCCGCTTGGGGCCTGGGAGAGGTAGAGTGGATGGGCCTCCCTCCTGACCCGGGTCTTTCCGGCTGCAGGTTCGGGACCAGGAGAGGCAGCATGGATAGGTCTGTCTCCTGACACAGGGTCTTTCCTGCTGCAGGTTCAGGACCAGGAGAGGCGGCGTGGGTGGGCCTCCCTCTTGACCCAGGTGTCTCCCGCTGCAGGTTCGGGACAGAGAGAGGTGGTGTGGGTGGGCCTGACACAGGGTCTCTCCTGCTGCAGGTTCAGGACCAGGAGAGGCGGCGTGGGTGGGCCTCCCTCCTGACTCAGGTGTCTCCCGCTGCAGGTTCGGGACAGGGAGAGGCGGCGTGGGTGGACCTGACACAGGGTCTCTCCTGCTGCAGGTTCAGGACTGGGAGGGGCAGCGTGGGTGGGCCTCCCTCCGGACATTCGGGACTGGGAGAGGTGGCGTGGGTGGGCCCTCTCCTGACACAGCGTCTCTCCCACAGGTTTGGAAGGCGCTTTGAGTCCCCACTGCTGTGGCAGAGCGCCATCATGATCCTGACCATGCTGCTGATGCTGAAGCTGTGCACCGAGGTCCGTGTGGCCAACGAGCTCAACGCCAGGCGCCGCTCCTTTGCAGGTTGGTGGCCGGCGCTTTGGAATAAAGTCCCAGGGAATCAGGGCGAAGGTGACTCTGGTGAAACAAAAGCTACTCTAATCTGTCCTGATCCAAGCAGCTTTCATTTCGCCAAGTGGTGCTGTTATCTTCAACTGATAGTGTTTTCAGTGTGTTAAATGACTTTAGTTAAACAGTTTATAACTTGAAACAATTCAAGATAATGATTTCTTCACTGGAAGTTGGGTGAGGCCTTAACAGCTTCACATTCTTGGAGCGCCGTCCCAGACAGTTTGTGTGTCCGAACAAGAAGTGCTCATCTGTGCCTGGCTGCATCAGGTCAGACAGTGCCAGGTCAGGCGTTTCATCTCTGTGTGCGTGGCCTGTACACAAAACACACCTTTTCAGTTTGGCTGTGACTCACGGGCTACCTTAGCCAGGGCCTTTCTCACAGACCTTGTTAAACAGACCCAGAGTCACCCCGCAGGGTCAGGCAACCCCTTTATCCGGAGCACACGGGCAGGGTACGTACACTGCCGAGTTGACAGCCGGGCATGACCAATTACATGCTTAGCACATGCTTAGCACACATGACTCCTTAACCTTTGGTGGCTTAAAAAATAGAAAAGACTTCTTCCAGTGTTTGCCTTTTGCACAGTTTGTTCAGTCTGAACCCTCTTTGAACATGCAGGCTGACAGGCTTCTTGTGTGCAGGAGGGTTAAATCCTTCCTTTTGTTTTTCTTCTAATTTCTCAGTCGAAGATGGTGCTCTCTTTGGCTGAGAGAGAGGCTGATCTCAGCTGTCGCTTGGAGAAAAGTGTCTCCCTCAGAGTTTGTTTAGTTTGGGGCTTCTGTGGATTTGAGATCTTGCTGGGGAGTTGTGTCCCTGTTTCTATTCCCGATCGCTGGTTCTTCCTGTTGGAGGGGATCCCACCTCTCCCTTTTTGTCTGCTCCTGTTTCTAGACTGAGGTGAATGTGTGCTGCTTTCAGCCTCTGTAGAAACCCGACCAGCCTCCAGCCAGCGTGACCTGGGCCAGATGGTGTCATTGTGGCCGTGAGATGAGCACCAGCGTCTTTTTTTGGTTCTGTTCTTTCTTCCCATTCACTCCGTTCTCCTCTCCTCTGAGTCTCTGTTCTGTTCCCTCCTATTGTGATTTGGGTTTGAAATTACACCAGAGATGGTGCTGACGATACCACAGATCTTGCCTAGAAAGCAGGCTGTTTTTTTTTTTTTTTTTTGAGATGGAGTCTTTGCTCTGTTGCCCAGGCTGGAGTGAGTGGCACGATCTTGGCTCACTGCAAGCTCCGCCTCCCGGGTTTACGCCATTCTCCTGCCTCAGCCTCCCGAGTAGCTGGGACTACAGGAGCTGCCACCACGCCCAGCTAATTTTTTGTATTTTTAGTAGAGACGGGGTTTCACCGTGTTAGCCAGGATGGTCTCGATCTCCTGACCTCGTGATCTGCCCGCCTCGGCCTCCCAAAGTGCTGGGATTACAGGCGTGAGCCACCGCGCCTGGCAGAAAGCAGGCTTTTAAGAACAGTCCGGATTCCCCGCGAGGTGAGGAACTGTGGTTTTACATTTTGGTTTAGGTGACTCGGTCTTGCTCCCTGCAAGGCTTTGGTCCTTCTCTGGAGCTGAGCTCCTCGTGGCGTGTTCCCTGCCCCTTTGAACCTCAATATTTAACTTGGAACAGGAATGTTCTCACTGTGGGAGGGCCAGCCAGCCGAGAGAACAGTTTGTGCCTAAGATGCCCAATGCATTGCTGGGTGTTTCTGCTGCCCTCGGGCTCTGGACATGAGGCCAGACCTTATGACCTTGTTGAAGGTGGCCTGACACGAGGTCCCAGAGATGGCAGGTTGTGAGTGTCTAGGCAGTGCAGCCAGCATGCAGTTTAATGTGAATGTATGTTGGAACACTGGGACACCCCTAGAAGTGGCATCGTAAGCTCCCCACCCACATTCATTTTACCAGCAGGTGCACTCTCGTCTCATTAGAGGAGTGTTGGATAAGAAGGGAGTGGGATGGTGGATGCCTGGCATTCTGTGTCACTTCTTCCAAAGGAGTACTTCTCTTCTGGTTACCCAGGATGAGTTAAAAACTTGAGTCCCTGTTTCCAGAGCTAGGCCTGGAATCCGAATTTTAAACACCCTCCGTGGGTGGGCAGAATAATGGCCCCGAGAGACATCCATGCCCTGATCCTGGGAACCTATGACGTGCTACTGTACATGGCAGAGAGACTCTTGAGGGGGAGCTGGTCCTGGATTATCCGGTGGCCTCACCTAATTCCAGGGGTCCTCAGACGTGACAAGGGCCGCAGACGAGATGGTCAGGTGCTGGAGCTGAGGGCCCGGCTCTCTGCCGTGGGTCGGCCGTCGCTTTACAGGCAGCAGAGCCCCCAACCCCAGGGAGCTGAGTTCTGCCCATACTTGAATGAGTAGGAGACACAGCCTTGGTTTTAGTCCAGGACACTGTTGGGCCTCTGGCTTCCAGAATTAAGATAATCAACCTGCGTTGTGGCTGCCACTTTTGTGGTACCGTGTTACAGAGGCAATAGGAAGCTGGGGCACCCTTTCCTCAAGGCCTGGAGTATTTGGGAAGCAGTCCAGGGCTGCTGTGAGGGGATGAGGGCTGGGCTCCTGGGGTCAGCCTGGGTGCCCCGTGCCTGCCCTCCCCTTGGGGAGGACTGAGAACCAAGCTGCATGACTCCTGGGCCCCAAATGACTTCAGGTGGGAAATCCACTCCTGAACTCTGTGTCCTGGGGTGTAGCTGTGTGTGTTTAAGAATTCTTGAGATTTACGTCTGTAGCACTCTTAATATTGGAGTCCAGTTTGAGTTTATGCATGTCCGTGTCCCCTTGGTGGACAGGCCCAGACCTGTTCCTACAGGGCGCCTTGATGAAAGGTGTGAGCTCGTGTCCTCTCATCTGCCAGGAGAGGGCAGGGCAAGGCAGGAACATCGCTGAAGTTCAGACTGAAAGCTCTGGCTTCTGGCCACCCGATCTGTAGCTCCTGCAGCACGGCCCCGTGCCAGGCAAGGTGGCCAGCCTCGTCTTCCGGCGTCACCTCGAAGGGAAGGTTGTTGGCTCTGAACATGTTCTGTTTTTCTTTTCTTTTCTTTTTTTTTCCAAGCTTTTAAGTTCAGGGGTACACGTGCAGGTTTCTTATATAGGTAAATTGCTTGTCACGGGGGTTTGGTGTACAGATTATTTCCCTAACTCCTGAACTCCTGACCTCAAGTGGGATCCACCCACCTTGACCTCCCAAAATGCTGGCATTACAGGCGTGAACCACCGCACCCGGCCAGTGTACAGATGATTTCATCATCCAGGTATTAAGCCTAGTACCCATTGGTTATTTTTCCTGGTCCTCTCACTCCTCCTGCTCTCCACGCTCCGACAGGCCCTAGTGGCTGCTGTTCCCCTCTACGTGTCCATGTGTCCTCATCATTTAGCTCCCACTTACATGTGAGAACACGCGGCATTTGGTTTTCTGTTCCCGTGTTAGTTTGCTAAGGATGATGACCTGCAGCTCCATCCATGTTCCTCTAAAGGATATGATCTTGTTCTTTTTTGTGGCTGCGTAGTATTCCGTGGTGTACATGTACCACATTTTCTTCATCCAGAAGAAAGTCTAGATGATTTTCATTGATGGGCATTTAGGCTAATTCCAAGTCTTTGCTAGTGTGAATGGTGCTGCAGTGAACATACATGTGCGTGTGTCTATAATAGAATGATTTATATTCCTGGGGTTTATACCCAGTAATGGGATTGTTGGGTTGAATGGTATTTCTGGTATTTGAGGAATCACCACACCGTCTTCTGCAGTGGTCGAACTAATTTACACTCCCACCAACAGTATATACTTGTTCCATTTTCTTCACAATCTCACCAGCATCTGTTATTTTTTTTTGACTTTTTATTAACAGCCATTCTGACTGATGTGAGATGGCATCTCATTGTGGTTTTGATTTGTATTTCTCTAATGATCAGTGACGTTGAGCTTTTTTTCATATGCTTTTTGGCCGCATGTATGTCTTCTTTTGAAAAGTGTTCATGTCCTTTGCCCACTTTTTAATGGGTTATTCGTGTTTTTCTTGTAAACTTAAGTTCTTTATAGTTGCTGGATATTAGACCTTTGTCAGACGTGTAGTTTGCAAAAATTTTCTCCCGTCTGTAGGTTGTCTGTTTGCTCTGTTGATAGTTTCTTTTGCTATGCAGAAGCTCTTTAGTTTAATTAGATCCCATTTGTCAATTATTACTTTTGCCAAGCACATTCTTGAGCCTCGCCCTAAGGGTGAGGACATGCCAAGGGGGACCATGGGCCTTGGGAGGCACAATTCTTGGCAGACTGATGAGGACGTGAAAATAACTTATGAGGAAACATTTGAATCACTACATTTCACTGTGCTCATGGATAGTCAGACGACCTAATGAAATAAAAGTGTAAATGTTTTCCAGCTATCTTTTATAGGGATTTTAAGTTTTGAAGGTCACAAATTCAGTTTGAAAGTTAATATAAAAGAAACATAAATGGTATTAAGAAAGAGTAGATTACTTAAACAATTAAATACATTATTTGTTGTCTGATTGTAAAGAACAGTGCATGCTCATGGTAGACATTTGGGGAAGACAGATATAAAGTAAAATAACTTCTGGCCGGGCACAGTGGCTCATGCCTGTAATCCCAGCACTTTGGGAGGCCAAGGTGGGCAGATCACGAGGTCAGGAGTTCGAGACCAGCCTGGCCAACATGGTGAAACCCCGTCTCTACTAAAGATACAAAAAATCAGCTGGGCATGGTGACGCATGCCTGTAATCCCAGCTACTCAGAAGGCTGAGGTGGGAGAATCACTTGAACCCAGGAGGTGAAGGCTGCAGTGAGCCAAGATTGGGCCATTGCACTGCAGCCTAGACCACAGGGCGAGACTCCATCTTTTTTTGTTTTTTTTTTTTTTTTTTTTGAGACGGAGTCTCGCTCTGCCACCCAGGCTGGAGTGCAGTGGCCGGATCTCAGCTCACTGCA